CTTTGCAGAAAGCACTGTAATTATCATAGGAATGAGTAGGAATAATTTCCTAAGTGCTTCATGGAATCTTCATAATTTAGTTGTCCCTTTGAACCAAGATTTTGGGATCTCTAGTCAACAATGTAGGGCATTACAAAGACTCTTACGTAGTAGGCTTTAATCTCATTCTCCTCAATATGCAGCATTCTTGATCTCTCAGTAAATCTCTTAAAAGTACCTCGAATTTACACCATTGAGATCGACTGCTTAACGGTATTATGTCTATGTCTAGACTTATCATTACATATGACTTAGTATCTCATCAAATATAACTAGCCAACGATCAATTGATTTAATAGATACAACATGTCACCATCAAGAAATCCTCTCATGATACTACATGCTTCTAATTAGCTTTATCTAAAACTTTATAAATTCCAAACAACAATGTTAGATGATTTCTATCACGCACTACACTCGTCAATCACTTTTCATTAGTGGATTTTAGAAACATGGGTATTCAATACCATTATTGAAGTATTACAATGAATTTCAATTTTATGAATATTCTTCTAATATTCCAATTGATCTTGCATATCCAAACAAACGCCGTAATCCTTTTATTCTATTTCATCCACTTTAGACTTAGTGTATATCATCCTTATAATTAATATAAGGATTTTCTACATTTTTCACCTTCATAGATATATTTCTATGATTATAAGGTATAGAAAAATTGTAACTTTTAAACATAAATTACCCCCACAATTCTTCAATTAGGAATGCATGTGTAACTAATAATGTTGCATCCACAAATCTTGAACTTTTCATATAAGTTCACAAGCATTGATGTTAACCCCCACATTTTTGGATTGTACTTGAACTTAGAGTTCATCAACTCTTTCGTAGTTCAATTCATTTATCGAATAGATAATGTTCATATCGAATACTTCGTGAAAGTTTAAGTACTTTCAAAATAGTGGCCGTCAACCCACAATTTATAAATTATATTTCAATCCAATATTCTTTTAATTTGATCATCCAAATTAAATTAAGGTCATCACATAGACCAACAAAGCTCTCAAACATATACCAATTTAATTAGTTCCACGATTGAAATCGAATTCAACAATGAAGAAGACTAAACATCTCGATTCACAAGAATTGCAACTTCTACCAACATATACAACATATCACATTTGTAACATTTTCACAAGATAGCATTATTTCATTTTAAATAATACTTATTCACCACGTTCAAATTGAATAAATGAATCATCGATCAGTTCGATAGTTGTGTTCTCAAAAGACACAACCCAACGAAGGGACACACCTCTTCGAATAAATCTCTATTAAGAGATACACAAATTGGAAATTAATCATACCAGGGTCATGATTTTTCATATCTTTCCATCTAAATCGATTCTAGAATATTTCATAATATTCTACTAATTTCATGTAATTAAGTGGCTTAAATCTCATTATCAAATAATGATTTTCACTTAATACAATTATAACAAATCGCATTTTGTCATATTCTCATGCACATATAGTTTTGCGTAAATCATCTCATTTAATTTCATAGATTTAATTGAGGCTATTACCATTAAAAATTTAGTATAATTTCAACAAGATATGAAATTTCAACCAACTAACTTTACCATATTCCGATCAAAAGAATAGTTATGAAAGTTCATATACTTTCTTCACATAAATCTAACACTTTATATTTATCTCATACCTATATATGCTTAGCAATTCATGTTATAGAGAATAACCTGAATAAACACAATTTCCACACTACAAATTGGTCACTAGTATCTTTCCATCATGATAATTCAATCAGAAATTCTTGCAAGAATTTTACTGCACAAAATTTGATTTCACATCAAGCAACCCATGCACTTGTAGCCATACATATATGACTACTCAACCATAGAACCATTAATTATGAACTTCTCAAAAGTCATACACATACTTTATTCAAATGAACCGAGAAGGAAACTTGTCCTATAACCATTCATAAAATCATTATAATAATAGGGTCATTGTATTTTCATCTTTATATAAATAGACTTAATGGTTAGGGTAATAAAGGAAGAACCCCTTCATGTATATAATGGACATGAAAATCTCAGGCAATTGACATTTTCTTATCTTTCATTATTCCATTGAAAATGACATAATGATTACATAAATATATGCATTTAATTATATTCCACCAGCAACCATTATTTGCCATTACAAATTCTTCATTCCAATTGCTGAATAGACGTGAAATTAACTACCCTAACACACAATTATTTTATGTTATGGAAGCATACAATTGAAACAAATTTAAAAAGCCATGTTCCGTCATTTTACATTGCCAACCACGTAGCATTTTAATACTTGCATAAAGCAACCAAAACCTCTGATTAATTTCACTTATAACACACACATCAAAATTCATCTTAAGATTATAGGAGATATTACACCGATAATGTGCATATTATATTAGTCAAGAACATACCGTGAAATCGAAATATCATTTGATTTACCGAAACTTGATTTGAGAAGACAAAATATTGATTACCGACTTCCAATATATGAATATGGATTCATCACTTTCCAATCTTGAACACGTGTCATTCTTTAATTCAAACACTGCATGAAATCAAAAGAATATTAATTACTTTCCGAAATCTAAATATTAAATTAGAATGAAATCAGAAAGAAGAAAGATGAGATGCAAGTGATGCGATCGATCGAGGCAAGTGTTTGACATTTTGTCCTTAAGATAAATTTGCCCCGCATCGGTGCTGACGGTTTCTCGACAATCATCTCCCAAGATACAACGACCACGTCTAGCCATATGAGCACTCCAAATGACTTAGACCAACGAACTCGAACGGAGTTCCCTCTCTACCATAACCATGATTTTTGATGTAAAAAATAATCACTTCTATAAAGTGGTTTATGCAAAACTAAAGTAAAACATCGAATGGAATGATATGGAATTATCAATTGAATTGTTCATCTTTCTTGTTGTTAATCCAAATACATGGGGATCTATATATATAGTAGTTGGAACATCCATACCAAGAGACACATCTCTTGGAATTTAAATCTCTCCATAAAGATGCACAATTATATCTCTACATAAAGAGACCATTATTGAAAAATAATGTCAAAAGTCATGATTTTCAAGAGTCATGATCCATATGAAAAGACTCATCTTTTCATTTACTCATTCTCTAGAATATTCCACAATATTCTATACAATTTCCAACAATTTCAAGCATTTTAAGTTTGACTTAATTTCTCATTCACCAAACAAAAAATTCCACTTAAACACTCACTTAAATTGGTCACAGCGAATTTCGAATTTTCCAACATTTTATAGGGGCAAAATACGAATTATTTGGCATCTATGGTCTTAAATAACAAATATTATCAGCTTGGTAACTCACTCTGCAGATGCTAAGCTCTGCTAATCATAGAGCATTATTTGGGGCTGCCTATTACTTTGTAAAAAGGATTAGATGGTGTGTGTCGTGAAGAAATTATCCAAACTTTCCAGGATCGAATGTTTCCTTGAACACCTTCTTTTACTACGTACCTTTGCTTTCAACGAAAATGTGGCAAGAATGTACAATTTTATTTCCCCCACTGGTGGATGGGATTGAAGAAAGCTTACTTTCTCCGGATAGACAACGAACTAGTCAAGAACATCCCACTTAGCTTAAGAGCTGAAGCAGATCGGATTATTTGGCACAATAGGGCATCTGATTGAGTTGGCAAAATTAGCGATCAAAGAGGAGTTAGAGGGGAATGAACAGAAGGCAGTGAGAGTGTGAACACATCTGTCTAGAATGCTATGAATACACAGATACTAAATACAGATGCTACAACGAGTATAATTGATCTCGTGCTCCAGTTGGTAGGATAAAAACTTTTCACTGCTGACGTGACGAGAACCTTATTCTACCTATTGGGGACGGGAGGTTCAACATGCTTTATATATTATTTTTTAAGCTAAAGATGCAGAGGCGATTGCAATGTCCGAGGTAAAAATAGAAATAAAGTTGTCCTCGCACTAACCTCCTTTGCTCTCACATCCCCAATTGCTTGTAGTTCGGGTATAGCGTATTCCTTTTTTTTTTTTTTAGTATAGTAATGATATTCAGTACTACTTGTATTTAACACCGATTTAAGTGACAACACTTTTATCATTAAATTATATGTTCAATTAAATACAAGGATCCATGACTTATTTAGCCTCTGTTTGAGCCATATTAAATTTTTTACTTTCATTCTTCTACTCATTTTCAACCATACATTTTTCAATAAAATAATATTTTCTATCACATCAATAATTTTTCTTTCTTTTTCAACCACACATTCTTCATCAATGTACTATTCCAAAATACATTTTTTCAAAGAAATGTGGCTCAAACACACGATGAATAGAACATATAACATGCTGACATCTAAAATAATGTTTTAACACTATTGGTGTTAGATAGCATTTTTTTTTTTTTAATATTGCCGGCCTTTCGTGATGAACAACCATAATAAAAGTTTCTTATTTAAAACTAAAATTGAAGTTAGCGATCTAATTCAAACTAAATTGAATTTCAGTGACCAATTGAGACAATTAGATTTTATTGACCAAATTGAGAGTTTGCTTAAAGTTCAGTGACTGCAGATAAAATTATTCTAACTTCCCAAAATGCCAAATCAACGTAGTCCGTAGATGCTTGCCGCGTAATGAGAAGAAGAAAATGCATCTTCTACCATTGATTGATCAAAAAAATTCAGACAAAAATAACTATGAAAACTTCTCCGCGTTGATTACGTACATTATTGATTTGAATATTCCCACAACCTTAATTCGTAAATATTATGTTAAAACCCCTTTTTTGACAACGTTTTTTCTTTATTTTATTATCAGAAGATTATATACAGAACATAAATCAATTGAGAGGAAAATTCAATTGGAGGCTTAATTTTTTGCCGGAATTAATCGATCAATCGCCATGAGTTTCCTTTTTAGAAAGAAAAAGACTCCGGCAGGTTCGTTTCTTTGTTTGCTTTGCACTGAAGTATGGTATTATATAATTGGTTTTGGTTCTTTTTTTAAATTTTTTTGAATTGGGACTTATTTGATGGTGTAATATGGTTTTAGATGTTTTGATCAGATCAAGTTATTGCTCAATGACTTGTGAAATGAAAATTTCCAGTTATCTATTTTGAGGAATTATTTTTGGTTGGGGAAACTAGACAGAAAGACTAGAATTTAGATAACGTTTATTTCTGTTTTAGAAAATCTTGCTTTGATTTATTTGTGTCGAATTTGAGATTAGTATTATGGGCAGAGGAACAAATTCCAGGAGGTGAAATGTGCAGCACACATGATGAAACACGGGATCATTGCTGTAAGCTCAATTAGGAGTTATATTACAGATCATAGCGTTTAAGAATCATGGGGAAATTGTGGTAATATTTGTTAAATATAGATATGTCTGACAAGAACTAGGTAATTTTGTTTTTTTAAGAAGATCTGTAATGAAAATGATCTATATTGAGAACGTATTTGTGGACTCAATGCCCTTTTCATTGGGGTGGACGCAGACTTTCGAAATTAGGGGAGCACTATCTAACTTTCAGATTTTTTTTGGGAGGGAGAAGGGGAGAAACGGGATTACGGGATGGATTTTGGAGACGGGAGAGAACTGAGAAGAGAGGCGACTCAGGGAGCTGGGCTGCTGGAGAGAAATGAAAGGTAGGATTAGATTTTTTTCATTTTATATTTAATTAAAAAAACCCCAAAATCTAAGGGGACACGTGCCCCTGTGTAGGTCCGCCCCTGCTTTTCAAGGCAAAGGGCCTACAGTTTTTTTGACACAGTGAAGATGTTTAGAGAAATATCAAGTTGTATTAGTTAATTTTTTAATCAAGGGTGTTTAGATTACCTGGATATGGGAATAGGCATACTTCCTCCTTTGTCTCTAAAAGACTGTATGCCTTTCTACTGTCTTTGTCTGAATTCGTTCCATGTCAAAAAGATATATCCTTTTATGTTTAAAGATTTATTTTATCATGGTTAAGTCAATTAGAACAGGTATATCGTTTAATTTTGAATATTTATTCTGTCATGGTTAAGTAATTGAATGCCTGAAAACCATTTTGCTACTTTATTTATATCTCTTTCCTTTTTAAAATGTGAGTGGCAGAGAGTTTTTCTTGATGATGGTCAATCTGTTAACCTATACCTGATTTAACATGACCATCATTTCTAAATAATGGAAGCAAGTATTCTATTCGTGCCAACATACCTCCTCCATGTGTTTGGCGTTGCAGTGACAGACTGTTTTGTCCTGGGCACAGGTTTGATGTCTCTAGAACTGTTATTGCATTACAACAACTTTCTTTTAAGCATAGAAAAACATGCTCTTAGAAACAAAGCTTATTCCAATAAATTTGGAGCATGAATCCTTTTTCATCATATCAAAATGTTTAGTTATATCAGTGTTTGGTCACCAGACTCACCACATTAGGCCATGTTAATTTGGATCTACCTATCTCGCTTTTGATCAATTTTACTGGATTGCTTCACTTTGTTTACGAGAGTTTCTACCCACATGCAGGAAAGGTGTTATTACATTACATGGCAAATTTTATTGTATGAAGCATGTCCATGTTACGACGACACGTGATTATGCTCCATTAATGTTGTCTAAAACCATCTAAGCCTATGTGTTGTGGGGAATTAACTAGACATGCACAGCAGAAAGTTTAGAACTTAATTCCCTACACATGACAACTTTTATGTTCTAACGTGATTCGTGACAAGAAATTGCTACCTCTTAATGATTTAGATAGTAAAAACCGATTTCTCCTTTAAACTTCCAATTTTGTAAAATTGATTTCTTCAACACAACAACAATACCATATCTTCATCTACCGTAACATCCTAATAAATTACTTTATTCCAGATCTTGATTTACCATAGTAGCTGTAACGACCCAGGTCTCTATATTCAAGTCGTTAGCTTGTGTACTGTCCGCTTTGGGTGGGCATATGCCCACTTATCCCTCACGGCTTTCTATCGTGTTCCCCAGAATTCGAATCCAAAACCTCCATCTTTTGGCTCAATTGGTACCATGATTCAACTTAAATCTCCCATATGATGGAGGTTTTGGGTTCGAATCTTGAGAGACGTGATAGAAATCCGTGAGGGATCTGTGGGCATATGCCAACCCAAAGCGGACAGTATGTAAGCTAACGGTTTGGGTATAGAGACTTGGGTCGTTACGAAAAATGTGCATTTTTTTTAACGACCCGACCTCGAGCCGGAGCCATTATTATATCATACGAACTGTCCGCTTTGGGAGAGTTTAGACCCATCTTGCCCCGTCACGGCTTTCGACGAGTCTCCCAGGATTCGAACACAAGACCTCCATCATATGGGAAACTTAAGTTCTTGAATATTCAACTTAAGTCTCCCATATGATGGAGGTCTTGTGTTCGAATTCTGGGGGACGCTTCAGAAAGCCTTGAGGGGAAGATGGGCCTAGTCTCTCCCAAAGCGGACAGTTCGTATGATATGATAACGGTTCCGGCTCAAGGTCGAGTTGTTTGTTGTAACGACCCGACCTTGCGCCGGAGCTGTCATCATATCATACGTACTTGCCCAATTGATACCAGAATTCAACTTAAGTCTTCCATATGATGGAGATTTTGGGTTCGAATCCTGAGAGATGCATCAGAAAGTCGTGAGGGGTAAGATGGGTCTGTGCTCTCCCAAAGCGGACAGTACGTACGATATGATGACGGCTCCGGCACGAGGTCGGATCGTTACAGTAGCCCTAGTATTCTGTCTCTAATAGTAATCCACACCGAAAATTTCAAGACGAAAATTCCTATAATAGGAACAATAAGGCAGACGACTTCTAGGTTTTGAGAATTATTTTTGTTCTATCAAAAATCTATATCCTTTCAACCTTAGTATTGGACGATTTATAGATTTTGTAATTATAATAATCCTGTTAGGATAATAAAAACCTTTATAATGCTAATCCCATCAGGACAATAAAAGTTCTAAATTTATTGGCCCCAAAATTAATTAATTTTATTCTATAATTTTAGCTCATTAACTGAATCTAAAATTAATTAATCACATTAAATAACTTTGACCCAATAGTTAATAGTCAAATCTACGAACTAATTTGTAGCATAAATGTGTCATATGCGTCAATTAATTAAATCTTTAATTTCATCTTCTAGTACTTACCCTTGTTGTATGACTTATTAGAATCCGAGTCACGATGACAACTAATATGAATTATTATTTAGTTCAAATCATGATAAGATAAGTTAAAAACTCATTTTAATTTATCGATTAATTCAACAATCAATTTATTCATATTAAATATCCAAGATTAATATCTAGCAACATGTCAAGGCTACCCATGTGATATACAAGTCATATGGTATGACAAGACCCAAAATGTTTGGTTAGCGTGAAATACAATCCCTTCATTGACTATGTCCGAATTGGTTAAAAGATATGGATTTCAGTGTCAACGCATTTGACCAATTATGTTATTTTTTACCTTGAGCTTTTGATTCAACGAGTTGTATTGAAACTCCTTTAAAATCATAACTCCACCTTGGTCAAGGACTTTCAGTATCAATGATCAATTCTGTGAAGAGTGATGAATCCCATCTTAATAATTCTTCAATTTTTCCTGTAATGCCTAATTATTGTTGTATTAACAACCCTAAATAGAGTTTACATCCAGCACTATCAAAATATGATGATCCACACATAAGATTCCTTTATGATCTCAAGTTCAAGGATCAGTTTCACAACCTTCATTGAGAAGAAATAATCATTGATGCTCAAATAGTCAGCCTTATGGAATCTTTATTGCAGACCTTCAATGAACTTATTCATCTAACGAGCATCAACATATTCACTTGAGCTTCCCCTCACTCTAGTTAATGAGGTCAACTACTCTTTTCAAAAGAAAGAAGTGCAATATGTGCTATCCTATCCGGACTAATCATATCTGTATCTCATTTTCCCATACGACTAGGGATTGTTCAAGAATAGATCAACATCATATGTATCTCGCTATCACAACTCCTTGTGATTAACATATAACTGGCATTTATTCTTTGAACTCCATTATTCATACGTATTTATCCATATAAACAATATAATGGGGATGTCAATAAATAGAATTAATAGTATTTGATAATAAAATAAAGTCATTTTACCAAAAATCCATTGGACATAGGGTTATTGTGAGTGGATGGGTTATTTGTTTGCCCAGTTGCTAAAGTATATATTCCAAAGGTTGGAGTTTTTTTCTTATGTTTGCCTCTCAGAACCCTTGTTTTTGTGGCCAACCTTGGGATTTACAGATTGCTATGGATATATTTGTTGGTTTTGTTTCATTATTATATTTTTCAAAATTAGTTCGTGTTTCTTTCGTCACATGTTCCATTTTTAATGACTACCATAATTTTGGTGCTCTGATGACCTGGGGTACTAACCATGAAGCCTGGCTTATGATCAGTGGTTTTTAGTTTGGAATAAATAGGTTATAATTGTGGTCTCTCTTTTTTGACAAAGCATTTCATTGATCTGTATTACTTATAATATTTTATTATTATGATTTCCAGAGCTTCTCCGGGAGAATAAGAGAATGCTTGATAAATCAATTCGTGAAATAGAGAGGGAGAGACAGGGTCTGCAAACACAAGAGAAAAAACTTATTGCGGAGATAAAGAAAAGTGCCAAGCAAGGGCAGATGGTACGTGGGCCCTCCAGATTTCATATGCTCAGCTTCTGAATTGTAAATGTGATGTTTTAACTCATTGTCTCAAACGAGATAAAGCCATCTTGCTGCCTCTTTATGTTCCAGAACTTTAAATTACTTTCTAGCAGTTGATTTAGTTCCTTGAAATTTTTATGTGCAATCAAAGAGGCGAGCCAAAGCAACTCTGTCTCCGATTACATTTTTTTTTTTTTAATCTAGGTGATTGACTAGGTAAAAAATGAATATTGTTCTTCGCAAATTATGAATATTAATTTTTGTTGCAGAATGTTAGAAGTTCAAATATACTGTTCTCCCAACATTGCAATAGGTGGTTATATCAATGTTAGATGCCTGTGCATTGTCTTGGTCTAATTTTTCTTGGTGGACTTGCCCACTTTGGGCATATGAAAGAACAAAAAGTATGTTGCATGTTTCTGGAAGTAATGAGATTTCTGAAGAATCTTTTCTGGTGGGTTGGGGGGGGGGGGGTGGGGAATCAAAAGAGCCCTTTGCCATTTTACATGTAATGAAGGCTTGAAATGAATACAATTTCTGTAATGATTTGTAGATGGGGACAAAAGAATTGCACTATGTTAATTTATTTCTTCCCTTTTTCTGTTTTATGTTTGATCACTTTCAAATTATTTTCAATTAAGGTCATAGATTTTGGTTTTACCAATTTTGGCAGATAAAGAATTATAAAAAATAAAATTTGGCATATAGCTTACCCAAATAATTGGGGGCTAGAAATCATCATTATATGTCAAATTCTTTTATATTGAACTGGTCTACTATGCTCGGACTTGGCATTCGCCAGCATACACGACACGGGTATAAGTATAAAATATGGGGTGGATCCTTCAATATTCAAGCGGGGTATGGCAATTGTAATTAATTATGTCATTTCTATCATTTATTTTAATTTTGTGCTTTTGTCATGTAAATTTATGCTATTTTTGGTGTTTTAGACTTTTAGTATAAATTTCTAGTTGGCTTTAAGTGACATGTTCTATATTTTAAAAATTTGTCACTTAATTATTATTTAACATTTTACATGTGAATTTATGGGACATTGAAAATTGAAGTGTGAAAGATGTACCCACGTACTCGTGTTCAAAATTTGGAATCTTTTTAGTCATGTTCCCGTATTCTACATTTTAGAAAATAAAATATCCGATACTTAGACACGTACCAATAACTGATACCCATACCTGAGTTCAAGCATCATAGGAACCGTTCACGTATGCCTGACATGTTAGCAGAATTGTAGAATGAACATAATAGGATTTTGTGCTGATTATTTCAATTCTGGTGTTGGAATTCCTTGAAACATATGTCAGGTGCTATAGAACTGCTAGATTCTCCAAGTCGATCAAAATGGTGCATATGATTTGCTTTTTCCTTGCCTTTTGATATTGTTTCTGGAAATTGATTACATTGTAGTTTGTTATCATTGTGCTTCCTTGATAGAATTTGATACTTTTGGTTCCATCAGTGATTCTAAATGCAACTCATTTTGAGCCCAGTTACTCAAAGCCATTTTTAAGTGCTTGTTGCAGGGAGCTGTTAAGGTGATGGCTAAAGACCTCATCAGAACACGCCATCAGATTGAAAAATTCTATAAGCTCAAATCCCAACTACAAGGTGTATCCCTCAGAATTCAGGTATTTTGTCATGACTAGGTTATTTAGATTTAATTTTGGACTTCTTAAGGGTTTTGTCTTTTGGTAAGGACTTCAGTAAAGAGTTTTTGTATTCTTCCATATCTTTTTTTGCATGCTGGAGCCTGGAGTCCCTTTGCATTTTTCCTTTTCGGTGCCTTGTTATTCTAATGTTGTCCTGCTAATGATTGCACTTGGGGCAATTTTCTGCATGATTGCAAGACGTTAGAAGTATCTGAGGAGATAAAAAGGCATTTAATATGAATGTACATGCTAATTTTGTCTTCTAATTGACTCAATAAATGTTGCTAAATTGTTGCCATGGAGACTTGAAATTTGTCCTAAATGTGAATGGGGCTTGACAATTTGTTGAACTATCTGTATGCAAATGTTAGTACCTTAAGGATGCGGAAAAGTTAAATTTGTTATAGACGTTGACTTTGTGACATTTTAAGTTTGTATATAGTGTATAGTAGTTTGTTTTGATCCAGGTAGTTCGGTTATGTGGATTTGATATGTTAGGCATGATTTTGGTTTTAATTCATCATCATACGTCCAATTTTGTATTCTTTTCAATCATTTATTCAGCCAGAGAATTTAATCACGAGTAAACAGTTTTGTTTTGCTGAAGAGAATGTAACAAGTAGGGGTGGCACCAATTGATAATTTTTTAAGGAAGGACATGTATTGCAACCACGTAGACCTGAAGAGGCTCCAATTTGTAAGAGGAGGCAATGCTTGCAGAAGATTTTAGAAGAGGGAGGGGTTGACCAATACTAAAATGTCATAAAACAAAATTTTTGTCTATTCTTGTTGCAGTTCCTAAGGATTTAATTTTATTGGTTCTGTCATTTGATGTGTCAATAAATCAAATGGGGTGGTGAAAGAGAATCTATGTAGCCGACTGCAAATTTCTTTGGAATAAGGCTTTGTTTGTTGTAATAAATTATTTCATTTTGCAGTTTCTCCTATTTTTTTCCTATACTTCGCTTTGCGACTTTTTTCATTAACTTCAATACCTCTTTCCAGACATTGAAATCAACACAAGCAATGGGGGAGGCGATGAAAGGTGTTACAAAGGCAATGGGCCAAATGAATAGGCAAATGAACTTGCCATCACTTCAGAAAATAATGCAAGAATTCGAAATGCAGAATGAAAAGATGGAACTAGTAAGTGAGGTGATGGGAGATGCCATCGATGATGCACTGGAAGGAGATGAAGAGGAAGAGGAGACGGAAGAGTTGGTGAACCAGGTTCTTGACGAGATTGGAATCGATATTAATTCTGAGGTAATATCTTTTTCTCCTTTGATTCTCCGTGTTGGATTTGAAGATGGTTTTTTCTTTAGCATGTGCTAATCAATTCATGCTTTGAACTTGATGTAGCTTGTTAATGCACCGTCCACGACTGTAGCAGCCCCAGCTTCAAAAGGTAAGGTTCCACAAGCTGAGTCAACAGGAAATGACGATGGCGGGATAGACAATGACCTTCAGGCCAGGTTAGATCATTTGAGAAAGATGTAATTGACTTGTAAAATATATAAGTTAGATGGTTAGCTGGACGAGATCATGGCTTTGTAACATCTGTGAAGATTATTAAACTCCATACATTAATAATTTCAATAGAGTACATTTATTTCTGCTCATTTGTGGCACATGAATATTTTTCTTGCTCTGACACTAAATAACATGTTTCGTACACAATATTGTACACGACTTGACATTACAGAGTTTCTTCTTCTTTGCTGTTGAGAACAATCTAGACTAGTCTCAAAGAGTAATAAATAGTTCATATGCTACGGAGTAGAACTTAATATGCTGACCATTGGAAACTCTTCAAACTTTAGCAGATGGTACAAAGTGAAAAAGACAAAAGTTTCCTAGTATGAATGGCAGGAGAAAGTCCCTTTGAGTTGAGCTCTATTCAACTTGTTACACATTAAGCCCTAATTCATACTTTCAAGAGCAGTATAAATGAAAAAGCAATAAAGAAATAAGCAACATATGCATAGAGCTCCTGTTTGAGCTACATTAAAATTTTCATTTTCATTCTTCTACCTATTTTCAACCACATATTTTTCAATAAAATAATATTTTTCATCATATCAATAATTTTTCCTTATTTTTCAACCATACATTTTTCATCAATCTACTATTCCAAAATACATTATTCCAAAATAATGATGCTCAAACACACCCAGAGTTATAGCCGTTCACCCTCAATCATCCATTAGCCACTACTGGCTTGTTATGTGACGAACGAATATAAGGTCTTTTCCTCGCACCTCTCTTTCATTGAAAAGCAGCCCTCTGAAAAATATAAATACGACGGTAACTTGATATATCTGTGAATGTTCAACATAGGTCGATCTGTGGTCAAGAGAATAATATTTGGGTGGAGCTTATACTCTCTCTCTCTCTCTTGCTTATAATCACCAAATAAGTCCCTTGCAAAGAAAATAAGCTCAACTTTGCAGTATGATTAGACTTCACAATATCTAACATTTCCTAAAGACTGAGAATCAAGAGAGGATAGAATGTAGAAGCATGTTATTAGGGGAAAAAAAGTAGCAAAGTGAACTGAGGGATTAGGAACTTTCCTGAATACGTAATTAGGAAGAAACAGTCTTCCAGTATGTAAGTGTATATTAACTCGACAGCAATATAGCTTGGATAATGTATATGACGACACTGGAGAGTATAATGTTGTTAAACTCTGTAACACGGATACTTCAATTATGGTAATGTGTCCGTGTTTGACATGTCTCAGACTCGTGTCGAATATCGACATTCATCAAACACTCTTATCATAATTTTTTCTTTCTTTAATAGAAATATTATATATATTTAACTCAAAATTATTATTAACTAACAAACATGTACTCATATTTAAAATATTTCAACAAAAAAATGAATAACTAGTATAAAATTAAATTTATATTATATTATAAATGAAGAATTTTAAATAATTTAACCAACATGTCAACTGTGTGTTCTGTCAATATTTAAAAAAAAAAATCATGTGTCGACGTGTTCGATACTTGTCCGTGTCGATGTATCGTAATCGTTAAGTAACACGATAAATAGAGACGAAAGCCAAAGGTTGCCTGAATTTCTTATCCTTTGCTTTCAATTCATCTTGGCCCTTTAACCTGGCACAGTCTTATTTGTAATACTTGATTTGGGTCCACGTCTGTCTCTTGTTTTTGGCCCATCCATGTTTAGGCCTCTTGTCAGGTCTAACCAAGTTTGGGACTTTGAGTGTCTTTTTTTTTTTCCAGGTAAATGTAAAGTTGTATTGATCAAAATTCATTTACTAGTAAATCGAGCATATTCGGGCAAATCAACAAAAGATGTACAAGCGATAAGATCTAATGATCCATCACTAAAGATTCAAAATGAATCAAAACAATATAATACAATGAAAACATGATTTTATATGTGTTTTGATACGTTTTACTATACTCTCGACTTTGCGCGTCTTGTATTGGCTTATAGGTGTTATTGTTTACCTTTTCCGACCTAATTCCCCTTTCTGTATCCTATGCCCATGGAAGGTTAGGCTCAACCACCTTCCTAAGGCAGTGTAATTTCTTTTTGATAATAATACAATTCCAAAAATTGCTACGAAAAAAATGTTGGCCCTTTAACCCAGAGTTTATACACAGTTCGCCTTAGAATCTTGTAAGTAATTACTATCTACACTTCAAAAGCTTTGCAAAAAGATTATCTTTTGATATTATCATCTGAGTTCATCATAGGCCCCCACACACCAAAGATAAGGCATTAGGCAATATGCACAAATAGTATCATTTCATTCCACACTGTCAATGATTTACAAACTTCTAAACCAAGTTGCCTGAATCCAGAAATCCTTCTCGAGAGTTTTCTGATTGATCGGGGGCAGAAACCCCGAAAAGAACCAGTGGCTCGACCAGGGAACGACAAAGTGGACAGTTAAGGTGGGAATAAAGCCACATATCAATACAGGGAGCATGGAAACAGTGCTTGCACTGTGGAAGTTGCCTTATTTCTTCACCTTCTTCAAAAACTGATAGACAGACTGCACATTCATCAGAATCGTCCGCTTCATTTTTCTTGTACTTGATGCTGGACAAGACGGCTTTCTTCGGTTTATGAATTCTCAGGGTTGAGGTAGGTTCGAGGTCACCTGTGCGTCCCAGGCGAGTGCCACCGTAGTATACTGTGCACAATTTTACGATTATGAGATTGTACACTACCAGCACAGTTGCAGCCGTTCCTAAAACGAAGAGGCCATAATATAACATGGCCAGGTTTGGTTTTTCTACAGAAGGTAGTGATACTGGGGGAGGAGGGTGCATATAGGGGATTGGATTTTGAGGTTCTCCCATGGTGTTTTAGTTCAAAATTGCAGAGGTTTATTGAGTAGATTCGTTTTTTATGTAATAGATTCTAGCAACTTATGATATGATTATAATCTGTTACATCTTGAAACCGTGGTCCTGAGGAGTACAGAATTTTATCTATAAAACTGTGGGTTTTAAAAATATAGGTAATCTACACTATAATAAAGACAAAATAAATAACTTCTTGTATAGGATTAGCATGAATCATGATTGATAGAGAATATTTGAATTAAGAAATATCTCACTTGTTAGGAGTCACTTCAAATAATTTATACAGAAATTCGAAATAGGGATGGTGAAGTTCTTAAATCTAGTCCCACCCCTGTTGCCCCCAACCAATATCGGACATTACTCGGGCACTTTCTTTCTTAATATTGTCGATTCTAGTCCAACCCGTCATGCCATTAGGGGTTAGGAACTGCAGCAGGACCTTTTGTTTTGCCAAACCCACCCTATCTATGGTTTGATGAATATGTGCCTGCAAGTTCTTGTGGGTTTGTTTGTCGAGAAAAGTGTGCCGTCGGGAGCATTCTCTTGAGTTTTTGCTTGCTTAGGTCCTCTCCCGGTGTTGAAAAGCTTTGTGGTTAGTTTAACTGGCCACTATAGGTAATATAATTCATATTCATCTCTTTATACTTTAAAGGCAATAATATATAAAATATTCATATGGGTCTTTCGTCGGTGCACTAATAATTTATATGGAATGAGTACACTCTAGATCAGTCTTGAGGTAATAGTTCATCTGCTATGTAATAGAACTTAAAAGACCCTTGGAAACTCTTCAAGCTTTAGCAGATGGTACAAAGTGAAATATACGAGTTTCCAACTATTAATAGCCCAACATGGAGAAAAGTCCCTTCAGTTGAGCTCTGTTCCACTTCCCACTTGAACACACACACACACAGAGCTGTGCCCAAAATGAAGAACCTGTTATGGATTAAGCCTAATCCATATTGTATAGTGCAATAATAAACGAAGAAGGTATCAGAAAACAAGCAATGTACGCAAAGTTATGGTAGTTCGCCCTCAATTTCAGAGTTACGTTCACTAGCCACTACAGATTTGTGCTAAGATGAAGAAGAATAGCTCTTTCCTCACACCTGTCTTGCACTGGAAAAACGGTCCTCTAATAAATAGAAACATGAGGGCGACTCGATACATGTGGGAGTGTCCAATACAGGTGGATTCGCTGTCAAGAGACTAAGTTTGCAATATGTTAAACATCACAATATCTAACATATTCTAAGGACTGAGAATTAAGAGAGAACAGAATGTAGAAGCATAGCAAAGTGAACAAAGGTATTGGGAATTCTTAGAATATCATTATTAGGAGAAAAAGACCTTACTATGTATAGATGTACTAACTCGAAAGCGTTACAGCTTGGTTATGACATTTTGTGACACTGGAGTGTTATAAGGTTGGTAAGTAACGCGAAAAACAGAGACGAAAACAAAGGTTGCCTATTGAATTTCTCTTCCATTGAATTCATTTTGGCCCTTTAACCCAGAGTTTATATATAGTTGGCCATACAATCTTCTGAGCAATTTATTGTCTACAGTTCAACAGCTAGCAAATGAATATCTTTGTTGTTTATATTATCATCTCAGTTCATCATAGGCCCACAAGCACCAAAGATTAAAGGCATTAGGCACAAAAAGTATCATTACATTTCACACTTTCAACGGTTGACAAACTTCTAAACCAAGTTGCCTGGATCTAGCAATCCTTCCCGAGAGTTCTCTGATTGGTTGGTGACATAAGAACACCGGAGAAGAACCGGGGAACGACAAAGAGGACAGTCGAGGTGGGAATAGAGCCTGATAGGTTGGTGACATAAGAACACCGGAGAAGAACCGGGGAACTACATAGAGGACAGGCGAGGTGGGAATAGAGCCACATATCAATACAGGGAGCATGAAAACAGTGCTTGCACTGTGGAAGCTGCCTTATTTCTTCACCTTCTTCAAAAACTGATAGGCAAACTGCACATTCAGAATCATCATCTTCTTCCCCTAATCTATCTTTCTTGTACTTGAAGCTGGACAGTGATAATTTCTTCGGTTTCTTAAGTCTTCGTTCGAGGTTAGAGGTACGTCCCAGCCGTGTGTTATCGGAGTATTCTGTGCACCATTTTACGATGATGAGATTGTATAGAACAAGCACAGTCGCAGCCGTTCCGATGACGAAGAGGCCGTAATATAACATATGCAAGTTTGATTTTGGCAGAGAAGGAGATTGCAGTGGGAGAGGGTGCATATGGGGAATTGGAGGTTCTCCCATGGTGTTTTTGAACAAAATGGCAGAGGCTTATTGGGAAGTTTGGTGTTTTGTGTAATGGATTCTATCCACTTATAATCCATTAGAATCTGTTAAATCTTTTAAGCCGTTGGTCTCAAGGAGTCTATGAATTTTATTTGTAAAATACAGGCAATTATGTACAATAATAAAGACAAAGTGAAGAAGGTCCATTGGTACAAGATGAACATGAATCTCACTTGAAAGAGAATATTTGAACTAAGAAAATCTCTCCCTCTTTAAGAGGCACCTCTAAGGCTTTTTGAGAATAATATAAAAGTTATATAAAGCACATGAATTTTAACTTTTTACAATACCATCGGAATTCCGACATCAATTATCCCTCGTTTGATCAACATTATTATCTCATTAAAATAAAAAATATGACCGTTATCCATCACATCAACATTTAAATTCAAATTTTCTATCTCTTATGTGGGCCCCAATAACGGCTATATTTTTCATTCTCAAATAATTTGGCTCAAACAGGGCCTTATCTCTTGTGTGGGCCCCAATAACTGCCATATTTTTCATTCTCATTCTATAATAATTTGGCCCAAACATGGATAAATATATGCTGATAATTAGAGATCACGAAAAGTGATCACCGATACATTTTCGTCAGTGATTATCGAAGACCATTGCAATGGTGATACTATTAGCAATTATCGAAGGTGATTGTCGTCGTAGTAGTCATAAGTGTTATCTAGACAAGTTTTGTATTTATTTAGCGAAGTACTGATGGCATATTCCATCATTTAAGTCAAGATATTTTAAATTTTTATTTACAATTTTAATTGCAGATAAGTTGTTTTTATAATTATATTTCTTTCAATAAATTTAATTTATTATAATATTTATTCTTTAATATTACAGACGGCAAATCTGTTTGTAATCCTGTTTGTAATCTGAAATAATCTATTTAATTATCTACATAATTGTATAAAATTAATATATTATTTAAAAGTCATTGTAATGATACATTGCTTTTACCTGATGTCACAATCACCAACAATATCATATTGCCAAAAGAGATTTTGATTCACTCTGCAAGTTGTTTGTATGAATATTTATAAAAAAAATATCTCTATGAGATAATATAAATTAATTGTTTTATTTATTTATTTATTTATTATGTTACTATATTTTTTATAATGCTTATGAGGATAACTTTATGAGTTAATTGATTAACAAATATGCCGCTTCATTGATGACAATTTTATCAATATTGGAAGTGACTCTTTGAAAGCGTTTGCTTACAAATTAACCCCTAACAATTTAAATATGTCGGCTTTCGTGGTCGAATAAACGAAAATGGAAGGGAGAAAAAATATTTACAAAAATTGCGATTTCTAATAAGGATTATCATTGATCTGCATGTCATGATTATTATCAATGTAGCAAGTAAGAAGCAGGGGAGGACCCCGGGGGGTCACGTGACCCCGCAAGTTTTGAGATTTTTTATTTATTTATAAAATCATGTCTGGTGTTGATTAAAATCTAAATTTTAATTAAAATTAAAATTAACAATTAATTTTAATAATATATTTCATTGAATCCATAATTATTTAATTTTTATCAAAATTTACTAAAAAATTGATTTTAATCTCCACCAAATAGGAGTAAAATCACAATAATTTTGAATTTCGATAATATGCTAATTTAAAAAATTCTTCGACGATCATACACTAATCGAATCTAAAAATTGCTTATATCATCTCAAAACTTATTTCCAAAAATACATTATGGACATATCGAATAATCCTAACAGATATCGAAAATAGTTAAAAATACGTTAAACGAGAGTCTTAAAGAAAGATGTCTATCTCGCTTTTTTTTTTACAAAAAAAAATCAATTAATTCATTGAGATTTATTATTTTTGTTATACAAATTTTTCAATATAATTTTCATCATTTTATTAGAAAATTTTATATGAAATATGACATCAATTTTTTTTGAACTTTTATATTCGATAAAGTCATATTGAATGCAAAATTACATGGAGTATGATTTTTTTGAATGTAAATTTTTTATTGTAAAATTTCTCTCAACTTCTTTTCAAATTTGATTGTACCCCCATAACTTTAAATTTCTGCATCCGCCCCTAGTAGGAAGTAGAGAACAAATGATATACTCACAACACATTTTAATTGCATCAAACGTTCTTAAATTCATTCATTGTCACATGTGTGTCCCTAATTTTTTATTTATCACATTATTATCATTAATCATTCATTAATTAGTATATTTGGTCTTTAATGATAGTTTTCATTCAAAACTCATGTTCACCTGCTTTAAAATGTGAGACAAATTAACATTTATTCATAATTTTATATGCGTTATTTATTTGTATATCTAAATTCTGAGGGATAGATAAGTCTTTCTTAATGGAATTTTTAGATAAAATACTGATTAATAATTGAACGAGGATAAGAATACGATGAAAAAGTTGAGGATATACTGATTGAGACTCTTGTAGTCCTCATTTCTTGATTTATATGACATTTATTTGTTTTGTCTTTTAATGTCTGAGTTTGAGGATTGAAATGTAGAAAATATATATTTTGAAGGAAATAAAATTTTATAAGGCTGCAAAAATTTGTTTTCATATTATCTCCAATTTCCTTTTATAAAGAAAAAAAGAGATGGTATAAACGCACGTGCCTGATGACCCTCCAGGTTAGTTCCACCTAAAAACCTCGAAAGCCATTCCCTTTGAATTGTCAAAAGGTATTTTGTGTCCAAACAAGTTGGCTATTCCTTATCACTCTCATTCTTTTTTATCTTTTTAAGGTTTGAGTCCTCGACACGATTTTAAGATAAAATTCATACCTCATGTTATGAACACGACCATAGAGATAATATCAATAATGCCTTCTTCTTCCCATCTGAGATACTAAGCCCTTGTTTGGGCTTCATTTTAGGGTGTGTTCGGTAGAGATTAAAATTGGATTAAAATTGAAAAATTAGTCGTTATTGTTGACTTTTATTAGACGGGTAAGACCCAATAACGACCATATTTTCAATTTTAATTGGATTTTAAGCTGTACCGAACAGGCGCTTAATCAGATTTTGGAAGAAATTGAATTTTAGAATAGTAATTTTTTGAAAATGTGTAGTTAAAAAATAATTTTTTTTTAAATTTACGTGTAATGTTATTTTATTTGAGAATGTGTGATTTCACATTATAATAAGAATTTAATCTTATAATAGTAATTTTTTGGAGAATATATGATTAAAAAAAAAGAAGGAAAATTTTAGATTTACGTGTAATATTATTTTATTTGAGAATGTGTGATTGATAAGAATATAGAAAAAAACGAATTAAAATTTTAATGGAGTCCAAACAGGGACTAAAATATCGTAGGTATGATAGATGTGTATGTGGCTACTAGTATTAAACCGATCCTCTAATCCAATATTCACTTCTTAGACATTTTTTTTTTCTATAGCTATTAATGTCAACGCCCCCATTAATTGAACTTTTATTATATCTACCCCCAACAAGGTATAGTGTGACAAGAATTTTATTGCGAAAATTGACCAATTCTTAGAGAAGTTGCATAGAAAGGTCATCTACAAAAAAAGGGGCGAATTAGGTGAGATTAGACTAGAATTTTGTATGACAATTACATGCAATGAACATTACCAACTTTTTAAAAAATATTATTTACATTGAAATAGTCACCCCGACTGCTATTAGAAGAATTTGAATGTGAAAACTCGACTTAATTTAGTAAAGTGATTTTAATTTCAACATCTCAAGTACTCGTCAAGACCTGGCTTTATATTTTATATTTTTGGTATTTAAAAATAAAAAACAAATATTTAAAATAAGTAGGTAAATAAATAAACGAAACAAAAAAAAAAAAAAGAGAAAATATTTTAATCTCATCTCTACCTCTCGATAAGCCTCCCCTCCGCCTAGCGGTGGCAAAAAAGGTCGGAGGCTCGGGCCGAGCCCCACTTTGGGGAGTCAGCTCGAGCCCGGGCCGACCCGTGGCCCGGGCAAGCCTACTATTTAAAAAATAATAATAATAAAATTTGAAGGCAGTAGCTCAGGGAAAAAAAAAACAAAAACAAAAAATTCGAGCCAGCTCGGCCTGTTAAGGCTCGAGCTAAAAGCTCAGGCTGAGCCTCATTTTTTTTTGTCGGGCTCGACTCGGCTCGGGCCAAAAAAAACTCGGTCCAAAAAAGCTTGGGCTCTGCTCGTTGACACCGCTACCTCCGCGTCTCCCATCCGTCCCCCGTTCATAGATACATTTGTGTTATTCTCCTCCAATTTTCTTACATATTGGATTCATGATTTGCATGGTCTTTTATGCAGAGTAAGTAAAAGTGGAAATTTGGACTAAATCAACCGATATAAAGTTATTCTTGATTATTCAATTAATTAGTAATTACTACTATGATTTTTTTTTTTTTTTTTTTTT